GCAGCCCAAGCCTAACAGATTGCATTCAGCTGTTGTCAATATCACCGGCCCCGCATTGGGCCCCAGAATCTTGCTCTTTGAACCCCACCTCGATCCCTCCATTCAGGCGGCCCATTCTGCCTTCGTTCCCGGCTGCATAGCTCCCTTATGGGTGTGGTCCCCCTGGGACCTTTGGTTCTACTGGCCCTGGCCCACCTCCAGGCCAGTCGGAACCCCGGGCCCTCAGCTGTGGGCATCCCTCACGGTGGGCCCCCGGCCCTTCAACTCTTCCAGTCCTGGCCCCAGCATGGATCAGTCGGGGGATGTCAAGACAGGTTTGAGTCTATGGCCCCACTTTCTCACTGGGGTCCACCTTCCAGACCCTGCAAAGGGGTTAACCCACCCGGTTGTGGGAGCTGGGGTTAAGGTGCCCCAATCCGCCTTTCACTGGGGTGGTAACTGGCCTGGCATTTCCTGGGGGCTCCCACACCACTGAGAGCCCCACCGGACCACCCACTCCTGACAGGGTGCAGTTTTAGGTCATGCCCAGAACCTAGAGCCTCCAGCTCCTACTTGCAAGATGTTCCTGCTAAAGCTCAGCCAGGCAATTCTACTACTTGCCCTGGCAACAGCAAACTGCAGCCTTTATATGCCTTGTGTTCAAGATGGCTGCCCTCATCAAGTACCTGGTAACTGACTGAAGTGTTCCTGTGAATGCCTGGGTGGTGTGCATGTGTGTGTGAGATTGCTCCAGATCTGTGTAGGTCCTGTGTGAGTGTGTGTGATTGTTCCAGGACCAAGTGTGTATCCTTGTACCCAAGCAAGTGGGTCTCTCTATGTGGTGTGCCCACAGATCTGTGTGTGCTTGCTCTTGCTTGCCCCTCTGTGGTGAGGAAGAGAGCACCCCAGATTGACTTCTCCGTGGTGAGGAGAAGTGGTCCTCCCTCCATGATGTGGAGGAGAGCAACTTATATTGCCCTCCTGTAGTGAGGAAGACAGCATTGCTTGCTTGTGGTTGCTGTTCTGTGGTGAGGAGGAAAGGACTGGCTTCTCTGTGGTGAAGAGAAGAGCTCCTGCATGTATGATCCTTCTTAAGCTCGTGATTCTGCTGACTTAGTAACTGGGTAATGTATTAATTGCCGTGGTTCATGTATGGTCCAAGTTTGTATTGATTGTCGTTACCCACTTTAGATTGAACCAATAATTCATTGTCCCTGTTACTCTATACTGTTATTAATACATTCTTGTTCTTCACCTTTAATCCTATTGCTCTCTTATATACCAGGCAAAACTAGGGCATGTGTACCTGCCAGAAATACTAACCCATACTGCTGGACACCATGGCTAACATATAACCCTTTTGCCACCCCTTTCCAAGACCAGTGAGGGTGGTGTTCAAGGTCCCCTATGAAACCTGGGCTCAACATTAGGTCCTACCTTCTCTATTATTCCACTGAACTGCAGTTTTTCTTAACTTCAGATGCTTCTTTGAGGCAACATTTCAAGGGTCTTTTGACATCTCCCATTGTATAAACAAATCATACTTAAACTATGGCCAGGTGAAGGAGGGCAAAATTCAGAATATTGCATTTGATACCTTAAGATTTCCATGTCAAAACAAAATCCAGCCTGCCTGCAACTGTATGCAATATTGGAAACATTGTCTCACTTCAGGTTTCCTGCCCCTCACCCTCCACCCCAACCTGGATCCCTAATTCTGCTCCCTTTGTCTGTCAGAAACAATGTTCTGTTTTCTTTGGAAGCTTCTCTGGCCCTCTGCTGAAAAGTGGGTCTTCAAAATGTGACCCAGCCTCTGGGAAATGATACTACAATGATCTCCTTTAAAACCCTGAGTTATACATCATCCTTTATCACAACCTTCTAGTGCCAGATTTGGGAGCCTTCAGTCACTGTGTACAGATTTCTCTAGTTTTTGGAGGTTAGTCAACATGAATTTTGGCTGTGGTGCAGATGGCTGCCAGATTGACATGAATTGGGCAGCTGTGGTCACATACCTAAATGTAAGCAACTTGTCTCCATCGATTATGCAGGCATAGACACTATTCAGCTCTGTCTTCTAAACTGGAAGAGAACTACTGAGAACTACACTGTGTCTAGGATACAAGAAAAAAGTTAAAACTGTGTGGGGGAGAACAGGCTTTAACCTAGCTATCAACTGCCCAACATTCCTGGAATACATTTTAACAGGTGGAGAAAGTCTCTTGCCTTGCCAGATCTACAGTGGGGTTTTAAAATATTTTAGCTAGCACATTTAAGACAATACACCTTGTTGCCTTGGGGTTGCTCTGCTCCTGGCTTCTCTAACAATGCACAACTATATAAATGTCACAAGACTTTGTTGATCACTGTGTGATTTTGCAAGCTAGAACCTGCGTCTGTAAACTAGTATTTCATCTGCCTGTCAACATTCTTAAGAAAGTTACCTTTCCCACTTCAAACATATAATCCTTTAGCTGTGTTTTTGAAAAGCCAATTGCCTCCTGTAAATTATACTATGTGGGTGTAACATGTAGCATTTCCAAGAATGTTGATAGGTAAGTGGAGTGCCAGAAGTGAATGTTACAGAAATTTCTCTCCCGTGATTCAATTCACACTTTCCTCTTCCACTCCTGTTTCTTTGGGTAACAAAAAATACAATAAGTTTTCATTCCCAGCAGCTCCCAGGAAGGATAACATTAAGAGTAATTTCCAAAATGGGGTTTAGGCCCAATCATGATGAGCACCACAATACCTAACTTTTAGGCATCTTGGCCCCACATACCACATGTCCTAGGTTTCCTATGCAGTAGATGAGGTTAGCATTCATTAAGCACCTCAGAAAAGTCTCCACAAAGAACAGCACACTGGGTGCCTATATGAGTATGGAGGATGCTCTTATACTCTGTAATTAAAGCGCGTCAGAGCAGCATTCCTATGTTTCAAAATGGCAGCAGGGGTACTTGAACTAAAGCTTATCAAGTGAGCTTTAAAGTGCCCCCCACTCCCTTTTTGAAGCATGGGGACACTGATGCATGACACACTGTGGCACTTTAATTAAAGCAGCTCTCAGAGCCACTCTAAATAAAGCACTGCTCCCTTCCTTCCCACCCCCCGCCATTCCCAGAGCACATGTAAAAGGTAAAAGTGCCCACTGAGATGCCATCAGGGTAATGCTGAAGATAGGACTATGTCATATAAGTCCTGCCTTTCACAGGGGCATGGGCACCTTCCTTGGTGCGGCAGGGAGGTGTGCTTAAATCCTCTTCAAGACAGAAGTGGGGATGGAACCTGGTCTCTTGTGTCCTTGCTGAGTGCTTATACCTTTTGGGAAGCCATACAGAAAGGTGGGAAGCAGTACAGCCACCACCATTTTAAAATAATGGTGAGCCCTCTCTTTCAAAAGGAAAAACATAGGTGCTTTCCTCTAGGACTTGGGCAGGGACTATGAATCCCTTGGGAGGCAATCTGAGAATAGTGCCTAAATCCCGCTTCTCTTCAGAGGCTTGAAATACACCTCTTTCCTCAAAATTTTCCTGTTTTGCAGCTCTCAGCTCAGTGTACTGATGGTTGCCCACTCTGAAGTACCTAATTCTTCTTGTGCATTAGTATAGTTAGCCTAAATGCCTGCTATAGGTTTCTGGATTCTACTATGGGATGCCAAGGCAAAGAAGTAGTGCTCTCCATAGCAGAAACAGTCTCTTTTTGCATACAGCCCTAAGCTGATTTCTCATTGTAACTTTATAATAAACAGTTGTGCACCCTCATTCAGACCTGAAATAATGAGCTACTATTTTGATTTGTCAAGTAATCACTTCCCTGTCATTAGTCAGACCAACAGGTGGGGCAAATACTGTTTCTTATTGATAAAAATCTTGTTAAAATCCAAGGGAAATTTGGCTTTTAAATAACTTTTAACAATGTCAGTACTGGATGCAGAGTGGACTCCTTTCAATGTTGTCCATACCTCACAAACAGAAGGAAAAAGAGGTTCCTCAGTGCTGCTCTGTCTCATAACCAACAGAAATCTATTTGGTTATGTAGGAGTTTTACACTAATGATGAAACAGGGTCTGAAGGTACTTGGCAGCCCTTTTAAGAGTCAGGCTTCGCTCAAGTTAAGCAATCAGTTAGAAACCTGAAATGCTTTTGAAACTTTAACTTCTGTTAGAGTCTTCTGGTACACAGATTGAGAAATATGGTTTACTTGAATCCACCTAAGCTGAAGTAAACATACTACTTAGCCACAGCGGGCTCCTTTCATTTGCTCCTTTGTGCTGGCTTCCTTGGATGGGATGTAAATTGGGAGCGGGGTTAAAGGAACTTCTGTGTTTGGAAGAGAAGATTAAAAAAAAATGTTTTGAAATCCGTAAGTGTATTTAACACATTTTCAGAAGTATCTATGATGTAAACAAATACTTGGTGTCTGTTAGGAGGAGAGTGGGAGAAGTCTAATTGCTGCCATTGGGATTCTTTGTGTAACTCTTTGCTTTGTCACACATGAGTAGTGCAGGGTAACTTCCTGCACTCCATTTTTATCAGATTTTATATTGCCATGAATGATCTTGTTAGTCAACCTCTCTTGATAACACAGAATGTAGGATTCTTCTTTATATCATTTGAGAGATGAAAGATTGGATGATATTGGAGTGAAGACAAATCCCCAAAGAAAACAGAAGAGGCACTGTATTCTTAATCAGTGTTAATTAAAAGTACGGGAGCCGTGGCTAACATTCACATTACAGCATCTTTGCTGTCTCTCTAACTGTCCTATGGTGACTTACTACCCATTTGAGGGTTAACTGGTATTTGTAGAGCAATCTGAAGATACGAAACACACTAATGATTGCTAAGGATTCCTAGAAACACTCTAAGGATTCCTAGAACTTAATATAATATCAGTATTGCCAACTTCCTTTACAAATACACAGTAGACTTCCATTTTACATGTATTCAACTTACCTGTGTCTCGCGTTTACGCGAACATTAACACCTAATCAGAAAAATACACTCTGAGACGCACACCATTCGTGTATATACATGAACACCTTGCGAGATGCACAGACTGAGTCAAATGGAGTTACATGCAGCTCGAGTTCCCAAGCAGGATTCTGGAGGCTCGCTCAGTCTCAGTGTCACCATTGCGGTAGCAGCATATATTTACAGTATGTTTTTGTAACATAATAAAGTATTGGTTGAAAAAGGTTTTATTTTGGTACCTTTGGTGTTATGAATGTAAGGTCTAAGGAACACAACCCAATGCCAAAAATCATGAGAACTGGCAACACTGAAATATGAATAACATTTTCAGATTATTTGGTATTATATTAAATTATATTTAAATGTAGTGTTTCTTCATAACATTATAACTGAATTCCTTAAACTTCAGCAATAGTACAGAAAATCTTCTTTTGTAAAAGACAGAAAAGGAGGGGATAGGAGCTAACAAAGTACCAGTACTATTAGAGGGAAATTTAATATTTGTGTTGAAATCCCACACATTCTGAAACTATAATCCAAACCCTTAGAACTATAACTTGGGGAGAAGTGGCGCAGGAAACAGCAGCAGCTGCAGGGAGTGGCGGGGACTGCAGGGAGCATCAGGGGAAGCAGCAACAGTGGGGACCATGGGGAGGAGCATGGGAAGTGGCATGGGAAGTGGCAGCAGTGCAGTGAGCAGCAGGGATCAGTGCAGGAAATGGCAGCAGCCCCAGGAAGCAACAGGGGATGCAAGAGCAGCATGAGAAGCGGCACAGGAAGTGGCAGTGGTGTGGGGAGCAGCAGGGAGCAGTGTGGGAAGTGTTAGCGGCTATGGGAAGCAGCAGGGGCCACAGGAAGCAGCACGGAAAGCAGCCACAGGAAGCAGCAGTGGCAGGGGAAGTGGCGGGCAAGCGTGCAGGAGGACAAGCAGGGAAACAGCAATGGCGGGTGGGCACAGAGCCCATGCAGGTGCAAGGGACTGGCAAGACCAAGGGTAGGATGGCAGGAGTGTGGAGCCTGGGCACAGGGTCTGCCTGGCTGCACTGAGTGAGGCTTTCAAGCAGTCTGCAAAAGCTGCACATGATGGAACTGGCAGCCCGGCCCTGTCTCTCTTTCGCTCCCACCACACTCACTATAACCCCACACTCTCCCACAGCCCCCACCCCAACCACATACCCTCCAGCCCTCCACACCCACCCACTATACCCACACCCCACCACACACACAGACCTATTCCCCAACTACACCCCGCCACATACATCCCCTTACCGCCCACACACAACATACAGTAGGACTGTATTTTGAGCTATTATGCAGTCACCTGTAGATATACTTTGTAAACACATAAAACAGTACAAAAATATTTTAAATAAAACTAAAATAAGTTATAGTAGATTTTTTTTTTGTATACGATCTGGGTATTTTTCCAGTTTCAAGATTGCAGCACCCTTCCTCCCAAAAGGAGTACTTCCAGAGGTAAGAGGAGGGATTTCTGGTGGCAAAGGTCAGGGACTGGGGTCACGACTTCCAGTCCCAATAGGGTGACCTGGGGAGGGTCAAATGTCAAGTGGGGGGCTACCCATATGGCCCTTGATAGCCCCACAAAACTCGATAAGCAGCCCTTGGCCCCAAATAATTGCCTGCCTTTGTTCTACAGCCACAAAAGCTAGGAATTTACTTTTTATTAAAGGAGAGCAAAGATTCTTGTGACATTCTTAAATCTGGCTTTAAGGAGAGCAGCTGGTGTCAGGAGATTAATGAAAAATCTTTAGCGTTCGCATCTGTGTACTGGGATATTTTTATTAGATCTAATAGAAACGTTTCACTTTGGTTAAGTAAAAGGTTATCCTTGTGGGTTTTCTTCTGCTTGGATTTTCCAGCTAAAGCTAATTTAAGCTCAAAATTATTCCTCCTTCCAATATGTTATAGCATTCCTCTAGGTAATGTTTCTCAAACTATCAACTTCAAACACCTAGTAAGTGTCTGCAGGAAAATATTTTAGAAGGATGAGCAATATAGAGAAGCTGCAGTCCAACAAGTGGCCCAGGGGCAGTGTGATGGAAGAAAGCATCTGTTATATATGTTATTTGCTTCTGTTAAATTGAAAACAATGTCTTTTTTTTAAAAGCATCTCCTGAAAATGCATAGCCAGCTGTAGTCTACACTCAAACATTAAGACTGATGTGTGAGGAAAGCTTATGTTGGCAAGGTTTGCCCCCTGCTGGAATAATACAACACTACTAGACAGTTTATGAAGGTTCTCCAAAGCCTCTCATTTACTGTAGTTTAGCTGTCAGCACCTTTCTCAGTCAACTTTGTTTAAAGCATTTTTTCCTGGAAAGTTTTCCTTAGTAATTGAGTTTTACTTAGTAACTTATAAGCCATATGTAACTAATTAAAATACAAACTGCAGAGAGAGAATTCAGTAGATCCATCACTGATGACTGAGCTACAGGAGAAGGGAATAACTTCAATTGAAACCTTCAGATGCAGGGGGCAGAGGGAATGGGTACTGTCTATTAGAGACATAAATCCTGATTAAGTACCAGTTTAAATTCCCTTAATGTTATCAGTTAAACGGTTAACCGATAAACAATGTATCCACTGGAGATCAGGCCCTGCCTGTACTCACTTGTTCTCTGGGTGGCAACAGTGGGCTGTAAAAGCCCCTCCCCTGCTGCTGCCACAGGTGCATGGCTGCTTGGGAGCTGGTCTGGCTGTAGGCAGCAGCAGCAAGCTCCACCACCATCCCTCTGAATCTGGAAAAGCCTCCTGCCCACTAGTGCCACCAGTACACAGCTGCCCAGGGGCTGCAAGTAGCTGCACCAGAGTCTGCAGAGCCCCAGCCTGTCTTACTGCTGGAGGCAGTGAGGAAGCTGCAAGGGGCCTGATCCTTCTTGTGACAGCACATCCCCAGCCCCTTCCCTGCCTTCCACTCCAAGGCACATGTGCACCTACCACCCACGGTGAGCTAGGTCAGGACTCCACAGACCCTGGTGCAGCTGCTTTCTGCCTCCCTGTCCCTCAAGCCTGGGCTGGCTATGGCAGAAGGCCGCAAGGCTGCAAGAGGCTGCACTGAGCCCTGGCCCAGCTCATTGCCAGCGGTGAGTGAACATGTGCTAGGGGCAAACGGTGGGGAAGGGACTGAAGCTGTGCTGCCAGAAGAAGGATTGGGCTCCTCATGGCTCCCCCACTGCCTTCCCACTGTGCTAGGTACTAGTCCCCTCTCCCTACTCCCTTTCCTCCTACCTGCCCTGCCACCTTCAGAGGCACCGCACCACTGCTCTTCCTTACTGGACTGCTCTGCGCTAAATGATAACTAGTAAGGTATTACTGGTTATCAATATGTGAACGGTCAAACATTTCACTGTTCATTTTCCTACTGTCTATGTCAGGAGTGTGCAAATATTTTGAGTGGAGGGCCACTTACTAAGTTTTGGCAAGTCATCGAGGGCCACAAGGGTAGCTCTTTGCCTTGACAGGTGCCTGTGGCAGGGTACTGTTTGTGCCTGCCACTTTAAGGGCCTGGAGCTGGCAGCTGCCAGGTACCTGATGAGGGCAGCTGTTTTGAATCAGGGGCTGCCCATATAAACGGGGCAGTTCTGCTGCTGAAGGCCAGGCAGCAACACTGTCTAGCTAGAGAGCTGCTAGCATTATCTGGAAGAGCTGTAGGGGATGGTAAGGAGGCTCCTGGCCCTGGGTATGACTTAAAACTGCATCTTGCTGGGAGTGGGTGGCCTGGTGGGGCTCCCAGTGGCATGGGAGGCCCCAGGAAATGACAGGCCAGTTACCACCCTGATGAAACATGGGTTGGGGTGCCTTAACCCCTAGCCCCCACAAATGGGTGGGTTACTCTTTTGTAGGGTCCCTCCCCTTCCCCCCTCCCCAGAATTACTCCTTTCAGCATGTTTGCCATCTTGGAACCAGAAAAATACCAAACTATAATCTAAAAATCAAACATCTATTACAACATTCATTAAGTTTGTAGTGTTTTGGTATGTGGGGTGCTGGGGAAGGGTGTATGTCTGGGGTTTGTGGGGAGCTGGATAGGCATGGGGTATGTGTATGTGGGGTGGGAGGGGTGTGTGTATAGGTGTGGTGTTGTATGGGTAGGTGTGCAGTTTGTGGGGGGCTGTGAGTGTGGGGAGAGGGTGGCTGGGAAGATTTATGGAAGGGGAGGATTTGCCCACAGACCCCCTGTGGCAAGCAGAATCTCATCCCCCCCCATCCTCCTTCAAACCTGAGCTCCATGCTTCTTCCACTCCTGCCCCTGGGGCACTGGCTCAGCCCTGTGCTGCTGATCACCACCACTTCCCCCACCCTGTATCTGCCACCCTGCCCTTCTGTGACTTCCCCATCCCCTGCCCCAGCTTGCTACTCTGGCACCACATCCCAGCTGCATGGCAGAGATCATATGAGGCAGCAGGAGTTGGACCTGCCTGGCCAGCACTGCATGGAGCCAGCTAAGAATTTCAGGGCAGGCCAGCTCCTGGTGCATCCTGTGGCCTGGTGCTGCACCTGGGAGCCACATGGTGCCAGAGCAACTGGCAGGGGGGTGGAGGGGAGTGGTGGCAGTGGTGAGCAAGTGGCTGTGGCAGGTGGGGAGAAGTGGCAGTGAGCAGGTGCGTGCAGCACAGGGACAGCTGGGTGGGGGGCCAGCACCTTCAGGCCCCAGAGCGTGATGACAGGAACATGGAGTGCGGCCCAGCAGGGTCTCTATGGAGCTGGGCTGGGCTGGGCTGTGCCAGCAGGGAGGAGGAG